TCCTGGACAGAGAGGAACGATGGTTTGAGAGAAGAGTAAAGGAGGCCATCTTTGTGAAAAGAAATCGTCCATCATTAAACAGGGGTGGAGGCCTCCAGGTTCAACTGTCCCCCTCTTACAATGCTGTGATTGCTAGTATCACTCAGCCCTCTGTGAGTAGTAAACAGCCATCAGTGTGCTAATGATCCATTGTTAGGCTGATGGTCCTTCTTGAGCATGTGATCAGCTGGTTTTGGTTGTCAGCAGCAAACTGGTTGATCCACTCTGTGAAGGCGCTATTTAAGAGACTGAGCTGAAAACAGCACCTCAGACTGAGGAAGTCTCTTGGATGAGAGACGAAACGTTTCTATATTTTTTTGCTTTGTTTTATTTTTTGTTTTTTTGAATGTCCAGAGGACCAGATTGAACTTTTTTGGATCTTTAACATAGCATTTTTCACACAATTTCATTTAAATATACTTATGTTTTCCTCACATTCATATAGCACCTGTTTCCTAAGTCTCCAGTCCTGGGTTCCTTGTCGCCTTCCGTGAACCCTCGTCTCCTGTACCTACCTGTAAGTTCCTGTACCTCCTTATGGATCTCCTTCAGCTGCTCTGCTGCCATATAACCACTTCCACTGGACCTGACCTACGCTGAATCCTCTGCCCTCCTCTCAATGTTACCTCTCATCTACCTGCCTGGAAGAGTTCTTCCTCTTTAGTTCTTGACTTTTTTACTACATTTGGTTGTTGTTTTGTAAATTACACTAAGCTATATGAAAAAGCACATCTTAACCAGGACAAAGTGTTTTCTTTTCATTCTTTACTTGGGCAGCTGTCTAAATTATGAAAGTCTGTTTCTTCTTGGAACAAATATTTCTCATAGAATTATGTATGTTGTTATCTGTCAACAAGTGAATAAATCCTTCAGATTTTATCTAAAAAGTAAAATGTAAGAGCAAACTGGACCAGTGTCAGTGACTGAAGGAAAGGATCAGATTCACGACTCACCTGATGTTCTCGATGACGTCTCTTTGATAATGAAACTCTGACTGGCAGCTGGAAGCTTCCTGTTCCTCCGGCTCACGCTTCTCGAGCTGTTCCTCAGGCTGACCTCCTTCAGAGTCACTGCTGAGGTCCGAGGGCTCTCCGTTAGCAGCCGGAACCAGCTCATACAGCTGCTCCTCATCCTCCTCTTCATCAAAATTCACAACTTGGTCTCCATTGACTAGAAAAACACGTTTGGTAAGTCAGACAGAAAAGCAGTAAGTTGATAAAGGTTTAGATTTCAGCAACCTTGATGGAAGTTGTGGTCGAGCTGAGAGGACACGGAGCTGCTGTCCATAGCGTCCTCATCATCAGGGTCGTCTTCAGCAGAGAGACTGCTGCACTCAGAATCCAAACGAGGCTGAAATCAACACAGCTACGTTTTTTTACATGTTCATGTATGTTTTTTACTCTTTAGACTTCTTTGCTCAGTGTGTGGAGTAAGATGAATGCTTCTGTGATGAAGTATGATTGTACCTGAGCCACTCGTGCGCTGTAAGTGTTGTGCTTTAGGCTTTGAGTTAGGATCAGCTTCTTCTGGTAGTCTTTGACCCAGTCTGTGATGCCCAGCAGGATGCCCAGCTGGTGCAGGCAGTTCAGGTGTTTGGAGTCGGACTGGGCCACGCTGATCAGGACCTGTTTGGACTTGGCCTGGCCCAGGACGCGGGAGAACGGCTCCAAGAACACCTGGAAGTCACAACGATGCATGAACACGAACACTTCCTCACAGTTACAGCAGAAACTCACAGATTGACCACTTCCTGTTGAGCTTCTACAGAAACAGAAAATGCTTTTAGCACCAGCCACTTTTATTCTCACCATGTCTTCATGTAAACAAGCTTTAACACACGTTGATCATCTGACCTGCTGCAGGAGAGCCTGGCAGCTCCTCATGGGGATCTGTCTCAAACAGCTCAGCAGGAAGTTGGCCACTCTGCTGTAGCACATCACATCCTCTTCAGCCTGGCTCAGATCTGAGAACACGTTCAGGTGATGACACAGTCAGGCTGCAGCAGAAACGCTGAACGTCTGGTTTTAATAAACAACATCTTCACCTTCTTGAGCAACAGCTGCTGCCAGAGAGGTGTGCATGTGATTGGCCAGCAGGGCTGTGGGGGCATTGTCTATCCCATCTGCTACCACCATGGACACAAGATGGCCGGCGGTGCCGATGGGGTCAAGCGCCGCGGCCGCTCGGCTGAAGTGTTTGTCTCCGGTGTCGGTGGTGATCCGCAGCAGCAGACCAGGTGTTTCCTCCAACGCTGCCAGGCCTGTATTTGCTTTGTTGACAACAAAATGTACTGAATTAAATCAAATAATGTAAACGGTTTGATTCAGTTTTTGAGAAACATTTCAGATCAAACATGTTACGGCTGCGTCAGCAGTGAAGTGCATTTATTTCTGTTCAGCTGCTGCTGTTCTGATTCTATCAGTTCTGATAATAGTTCTCCTGCAGGACTGGAAAAACCCATAAAAACTGCAGTAAACATGCGGCTCGATCAGATGTTTCACTAACGATGCTCACACATCAGCTTCCTGTGGTTATCGCAACATAGATTAGTTTACACACACTGTTTTACAAAAAAGCTAAAAAAAGAAAAAAGGCTAACCATTTCCATAACAGTGACAAGCAGACATAAAAAACAAACTCATGTGCAGTAAATTATCTGCTTGTAGGGACGCACCCATCCATTTTTTCCACTTACGATGCCGATATCAGAGGTTTGTTATCGACCGATACCGATCAGATACGATACAGACAAACAGTGCTGAATTAACTTGAAAAATTAGTTTTTTAAATGCAGACATAAATATACTGAATTACAAATTACAAGGACGACCACGCCTTCTTAAGCTATATTTTAATATACATACCACTTTATTTATAAAGCACTTAAAACAGAAACAAGGCCAACCAGAGTGCTGCTATATGTAGATCAACATGATGTGAGCAGCTCCAGAGATGGCCCCTGAAAAATCAGTCTGAATATTATTTTAATAAGAATATTATTTTATTCGAATGAGGGTTTCTTAACATCATTTGAAAGAGGAAACCATATTTAGCCGTCAGGATTTACCAACTAAAATAAGGAAAAGTAGGAACAATTTGAGGCTTTTCTCCTCAATATCATCATTATTGGTGCCTCAGAACGTTCAGATATTTCATTCAATGGACCCATAGACCATGTACCCTATCGTAGATAAATAATGTTAATAATTGAATTTTTACATGAATGTCTCTGTTCAGTGCAAGATAACTTTTGATGAATTTCTGTGACTTCATCCTTGAATCGATGTGATGGGTCACACTTAACTAATCCTGTTCATTATTAACAGGAAACAGCGTGCAGGTGTGTGAGGCGTTGCTAAACATCTGCCTCGTTCCCCTGCTCCCTTAAACTGTTGAATCACGACCATAATCCTTTGAATCTTTTCACATTTCAGCTGCGATTCTTTAATCCTCTGGATTACAAATGTTTAATAAAGCTGGTAAAGCTGCAACAACTTATCCAGATTTGTTCTACTAAATATTTTCTCAGTGTATGCTTCACATGTCCTCCACTGAGGTAGAGGAGGATCAGAGCGCTGTGTGCTTACCTGCATTTCTTTCAATGAAATCTTTCAGGGAGCCATGAAGGGGCTTAAAGATGAGCTCCCACTGGCTCCACTGGCTTAAGTCCTCCAGCAGAGGGCAGGACAGCAGGCTGGCCAGAGCCTGGGCCTTGGACATCTCACCTAGACGCCCCACCGACTCAGATCCACTCTCAGCGCCGCTTCTGGGAGCGAGGAAAGAAATCAAAAGAAAGAAGGTAGATAGATGAAAGGCAACAACAAGAAAATATGGAGCGGTTACTAAAAACACAATTAACTAATTCAGTGTTAATTTCATTTCATTTTGCAACTGAATTTTTGTGTCAGGGTTTTCAGAATGACCCAGACGTTCTGTGTAAGAAACTTTTGTACTATTTTTAAATATCTAACTTTGGAAAAAGGCTAAATAAATTAATCTTTACAAAATAAATAAATAATCAGCAGGCCTCTTCTTCAGACCATTCCTGTAAAAGCTGGAACTTTTTCTTTGGATCTGTAAAATTATTCACTTGTTCTGTGTTTGACCACTAGGGGGCGCTAATGCAACAATGTGTATCTTATAATCACATTTTTGGAGGGTTTTTAAACTGCAAGTGTAATATGAAATAATTTGAGAGCTTAGGGACACTGACACAGCAAAACATACACTGATTTTTTTATAGGCGGGGCGGGGGACGGGCAG